CTCCATTCTCCTCTCGGGATCTTGGGCACGCACGCATACCCACCCGGCGTGAGTTTTAAGCCACCGGGTCCGGGACACGAACCGCAGTGGACTACGTGGGAGTCCAGCGACATAGCCATTACGCTAACTGCTGGTTCCCAGTAGATCAAACATTTTGTAAGGCAAGTTAACGATATCAGATCTTTAGGGGTTTTTTGGTACATTTGATCTGTAACTTTAATCTAGGTAACACTTCGTGGTAGGTTGAAGGATATCCATTTTGGCATCATTTATAAAATAAAAAATCGGGGCACAGGCAGAAGGCATGATGATCACGTCCCTGGGCTCTCTTGTAGTTGACCGCAGTTAGAGTCCTGGACCCGGCAACTTAAAACTCACACGAGGTGCGTGTGGGTGCGTGCCCTAGATCCTGAGAGGAGAATAGAGGAGAAGGGATTGCGGTGTGGCCATTCCCCCTGGGGAGTGATTTCTTGCTTTCCATCTCTCTGTCTCTCTCTGTCTGGTGAGCACATGTGCCCTATAGCAAAAACCTCTTTAAAAAAAAAAATGGAAATGACTTAAATTCTTCAAAGGGACTTATTAAAATAAATTATTGCACAGTCATTACTTATGAAGGTACAGGCCAGTGGTGGCACAGGTGAAAGAGTGCCACTGCATGTGACCAAGGCCGTGTGGGGGGCCTGGGCTCAGTTCCCAGCCCAACCTGGACAGGCTAGGTATGGTGACACATGCTATGCTAGGAGGCTGAGACAGGAGGATCACGACATAGCCAGATCCTGTCAGAAAATACCTCTCCTAGGGCCAGGAGGTGGTGTAGTGGCTAAGGGGCTGGACTCCCACACGTCTGCCTACAGTTTGAGTCCCAGACCCGGAGGCTTAAAAATCACACTGGGCACATGTGCATGTGTGTGTGCATGCCCAAAATCCCAGGAGGAGAATGGGGGAGAAGGGATTGCAGTGACCATCCCTCCGGTGGGTGATTTCTCACTTTCCTTCTCACTGTCTCTGTCTCTCTCCAGCAAGTGTACTTGCCCTATGGCAAAAACCTAAAGCAAAAAACAAAAACAAAAACCAAAATCCTCTCCCTCTCCCCACCACTTCCCTCCTCTCTGCCTTCCTCCTCTCATTAAAAAGACAGAGAGAAAGAGAGAAAAGTACAGAAGACTATTAAATGACACCATACTTCCATCAACAATAAATGAAAAAAATACTGGATACAAATAATAACATGTTTTACTCTTTAAATAAAAAATGTACGCTTATGTATCTGTATGTTTTTAAATGTGCCATGCATACATATCAAAGTGAAAGGAAATTCAGCAAAATATTATAATGCTTCTGATTTTTATGTTTTCACTTTAAAATTCTTATTTGACTTTTCTAAACTCAAGGTAAAGAACAAGCACTTACTTTGAAAGAAGTAAAATATTTTATACTTTTTAATAACTCAATATAAATTACATAGATTGTTCACTCAAAAGCATCTGACCTGAACCTGGGCTTTGTGCTCCGTTCATCTGACACAGTGCAGTGTTTATTTTCTTTCTCTTTATCCATAAATGAGTAACTGTCATTTACCTAAAGCGGAAGAATGTAAGGTGGCTGTCCAGGGTCGATGGTGTGACTGCTGCGTCCTTCACCTGCAGGATTTCTTAGGGTGGTGTTGGGAGAGAAGCGTGGAGGTTTGCCGTCAGTTGTCTTCTGGGCCGTGGAATGGTGAGGGTGAGGCCAAGGGAAGAAGAACAAGCTTAGGTGTTTCTCTGGGCTGCTGAGGCAGGTCAAATTCAGGGTTAGGACGTGGCCAGCACAAACCTTTTGGCTTGTTGACCGGAGTTCTGGATAGGACAGTCCCTGGTCATTTCCGTTTTTCCTCCTCCCTGTTTCTCCTCAGTCCCCTGCAGTCTGTGTCCTGTGTCCGCCATACTGAAAGTTGCCATCAGCAGTCACAGTGTCCTCCCTCCTAACGGTTAAATCAGGGCACCTTGTTAGTCCCTACCCACAGCGTCTGATATGCTAGTCATCTGCCTTTGGGCTCATGTACCTCCTACCGTCATGGTTACGGTCCTGCCTCTGTAACCACCTTGTGTCTCCTTCATCCCTGAGTCTTCCTCCAGCTCCCTTGACACGTCGCTGGGTCTCGTCCACATTCTCACTTAGAACCTTCCCTTAGCACTGGGGCTTCGACCATCATCTCTGGGGTTAAAGTCCAGTAACAGGCCCAGCCTCTGGTGCTGCTGGTAGTGTACTGGACAGTGGGACTAGAAGCTATTTTTCGATGAAGGTCCAAGTCCCTGGCCTAGTCGGTCTGAAAACATGCTGGGTATAGCGCACATACCCAGGATCCTGGCAGACTGAAGACTAAAGGAAAGGGATTGTGGTACAACTGGGCCCTGGGGAAGGCATCCTTCTCTTCTGTCCTCCTCTCTCTCTTTCTCACTGTTTACATGGACGCAGTCTATCATACATTTTTTAAAAAATTACTTCATTTAACTTTATTTTAATTTGACTGTGTGTGAGGGAGGAGAGAGGGAGGGAGGGAGGGAGGGAGGGAGAGAGAGAGAGAGAGAGAGAGAGAGAGAGAGAGAGAAAAGATAAAGCAAGCCACCATGTCCAGGACCTGAACCATGGTCAGCCACATGGGAGTCCAGTGCCCTTAATCACCATGCCACCTGCTGGCCCCTATCATAAATTTTAAAAAGTAAAGCAAAATAAAACAAATGTCTAGTAACCAGTTACCTTTCTCCACTGTGAATTGTACTTGTTGCTGCTAGGAGTTTGGTCATAAAACAGTATTTGAAATTAGAAACACATTTGTTTTGGTAGAAAATATGACAGACATTGGACATTTTTAGAACCCATCTCCTGACTCCTTCAAAAGGCCCTCAGGTTGTCCGTGAATGGTAGTGGTGATGGAACAAGCTTCTTGTGTGGCCTTTTCCACACAATACAAATGACAAATGACAAATTAGTAAAAGATTCTTACCTCAAGGCACAAAGGTCTATAAATTTCAACAAACATTGGCAGAATGACCCCAAAACTACTGGGTTTGTAAAAACTCTGATATACTGTACACTGAAGTGAAAAGCTCACATTAAAATGATCAGAATATGTCTCTTCAGCTGAACAACTAAGCTCAATAAAAATGAAACAGTGGACAACAAAGTTAAGATAGGATGAGAGGGTTAAGTCAGTTGAAAGATGGGCATCGCTGAGGCCATAGGTTCAAGCTGAGCCTTTTCTCTCTCTGGGGCAATGATGGGTACAGAGCAGATGTGAGAGTGTGTGCTCTTGGGGAAATGATCAGACTCATCTGACTAGGACAGGAGGTGTTTACTGGAAATTGGAGGAAGATAAAGTAGGGCTAGATTGTGGAAGAACTGAAAATCAGCAGAGGAATAAATGATGGGAGAAAAAAATCATTAGCACTAAAGATATGGATATAAGAGGTTGTTAGGGTTGGAAGTTTTAAGACCCGTTAACTTTAGAGTTGGTGGTGTTTTGTGAGGATTGTTGAGTACCTGTTGTGTGAAATAAGGCATATGATTTTATTGTTGTTGTTACCGCACCCCATTTTATATATAACAAAACTAAGTTTTGAGCAGATACAACTTGTGAAAGTTCTGCAGAATGGCAGGACCAGGGACAGCTGACTTCAAAGCAAGGGGGTGGTATTGAATCAGCTGTTTTCTTTCTTTCTTTTTTTTTTTTTTTAAGAGAGATTTTTTTTTTTTTTTTTGCTATAGGGCATATGTAGTCACCAGAGCGACAGAGATAGAAAGTGAGAAATCCTCTGGGAGGATGGCCATGCTACAGTCCCTTCTCCAATCTCCTTGTGGGATCTTGGGCATGCATACATACATGCTCAGTGTGAGTTTCAAGCCACTGGGTCCAGGACTCGAACCACGGACCACAGTTGGCCATGTGGGAGTCCGGCAACATAACCATTATGCCATCTGCTGGTCCCATCAGTTGTTCTTTTTATAGTAAAAAAAAAAAAAAAGAGACACAGGGATGAGCCCCTGTTCACCATTACACAGGTAGTAAAGCAGTTGTTCTGTGAGAGAGTGGATGGGTGCCGATCTGCTGAGAGAGAGATGCCAGGGTAGAGGCTGTTGTTGTAAATAGAGAATGCCAAAGACTTAGGATATAGCAGTGGCATGGGAGTGAAAGGTAGGCTAGAAAGTGGCATGACATCTGAGGTGAAGTTTTGGAGGACTGATCTTGTAATGGGGATGGTGGAGAGGGAATGGCTTAAACTGGTCCCGAGGGTTTAAACCTGAGGAACTGCCATTTAGAGATTTTCATTTTTCAGTTTATTTATTTATTCATTTTTATGTACTTATTTATATTGTGAGAGGAGTGATAGGCAGACAGGTATTCTTGAAAGGGTCTAGCCACACTGCAATCCTCCCACCAACGTTTTAGCCAGCCAGAATTGTGAGTATGCTTGTGGGCACACCCAGCATGTTCAGGTCATCCCAGCGTCTGAACCCGAGGCCTTCTCATAAGGCTCCAGTGTTGCACAGTGACACTCTACCACATCCACCACCATGCTAAGTGGTGGTTTTAAAAGGAAGGTCCTATGTTTGTTACAGAGTGACATGACTCTGAATGACAGAATAACAAAACTGACAAACTGGGTGGTATGTGTCAGGATATATTATGGATATATTAGCAAGTACATGGAGGAGAACGGAGATTGAAGGCTAAAAGGCTGTGCACGGTCCAGCCCTTTTCTTTTAAAGGATGTAAGTCACATCAAGACCCGCAACTAGCTTTTCCCTAAAGCAAAGGAGACTTGCTGGTGTCATATCCCACGTCCCCTTTAATTCTGACCTTTCCCCCTGGCACTTGACCGGAAAATGGCCTAACTGTACTTTGATTATTAAATGCATAGCATAGCTGTCTCACTTTGATTCCTCTCTCCTGTGGCTCTCAAGACTAGAACAAATGTACTTCTCCATCACATTGCCCTCAGTGAGATCCTTTGTCCCTGCAGAATGAGTGTCGCCCAGCTGGATGAACTACTGAATATTGAATTGCTTCCATCTCTCGACCACCCTGGGAAATTATCCATCGAGTTGAAATATTTATTGCAGTAATTTGTGGCCTTACATCATTAAGGTAAGGTATACTTTTTTCCCTTATGAGTATCATGAAGTTATCCTGTGTCCCTTAACTTTGCTTTTTAGGCACATTAATTCTTTCTCTTCCTCTACCTTTCATGCTCTCGTAATCTGTTCCGAGTGCTCCTAATCTGTAAATGTGTGAGTACTGAGAAGACTTACAGGATGAAATATGAGCAAGCTGTTTGACTCTGAAGAATAAAGGTGAAATGTATTACTCTTCAGATTAAATCAATAAATGTACCCCATTTCCATAAACACAATATTCATAGACTGGATTGTGCCAGAAAATCTTAATAGATCAAAAAGAGTATTATGAAGGCTACTTGAAAGAAATAGAGATACTTGAATATTAATAATTTCCTGGCTTTATTCAAGTGAAGAAAATCTGGAAAATAGAGAATTTAAAAGAAAAAAATGTTATTCCACTTCCAGAGATCATCATTGTTAAAATTTTACTGTGTTGGGACCAGCAGATGGTGTAAGGTTGTGTTGCTGGACTCCCCACATAGTCGACCACAGTTCGAGTCGCAGACCTGGTGGCTTGAAACTCACACTTGTGTGTGTATGCTCAAGATTCCGAGAGAATGGAGGAGAAGGGGTTGAGGTGTGGCCATCCCCCTGGCGCAGGGGTGATTTCTCACTTTCTGTCTGTCTATACCGTGAACACATGCACCCTGTAGCAAAAATCTCTCTTAAAAAAATTTTTTTTCTGCGTTATTTTCTGAATTTTTGTAATGTGTATATGTATGTCTGTTCATCGTATACGTGCATTCATTTGTTAGATTTTTGCAGATTAGTAACTTTTATTGCATGCTTGCCCTGTGCCAGGACCTATACTAAGCACTATATTTTTATTAATTAACTAATTCTCATAACACTGCGAGGTTGGTACTTCTAATCTTCCCACTCATAAATGGAACACAGAAAAGCTAAATGACTCATGCCTGGTCTCACTGCTGATAAGCCTTCTCAGAACTTCAGCTAGTCAGATACCAAAGCCTATATTAATGGATTTTTCCTTTTTTTTTTTGGAGAGGTTTTTGCTATAGGGCGCGTGCACTCGCTAGACAGACAGAGAGACAGAAAGTCTCTGGCCATCCCCAGGGGGGATGGCCATGCTGCAATCCCTTCTCCTCCATTCTTTTCTCGGGATCTTGGGCACGCATGCACACGCGCCCAGCGTGAGTTTTAAGCCACCGGGCCCGGGACGCGAACCATGGTCAACTACATGGGAGTCCAGCAACATAGCCATTACGCTAACTGCTGGTCCCAGTTTTTCCTTTTTTAAC